AGAGAAAGACAAATACCGTATGATTTCATTCATATGTGGAATTTAAGAAACCAAACAGATGAACATAGGGAAGAGAAGGAAAAGTAAAGTAAAATGAAAACAGAGAGGGAGGCAAACCCTAAGAAATTCTTAGGGAACACACTGAGGGTTGCTGGAGGGGTGGTGGGTAGGGGATGGAGTAACTGGGTGATGACCATTATAGCAAGGGTACTTGATGTAATAAGCACTGGGTATTATATACAACTGAGGAATCACTAAATTCTATCCCTGAAACTAATAAAATACTTTATGTTAACTAAATTTAATTTAAATAAGAAATGAAAGACTCTTTTTGGATATAGTAGTGGATACCTGTTATTGTGTTTGATTTATGCAGCATCCCATTTCCCACTTCTATCAATACTCCCCTCTCTTCTTTGGAGAAATGTTCTCATCCCACTCTCCAGTCCTTCACAGAATCTCATCTTCCTAGTCATAGTGGACTTGCTATCTTTCCGGCCACAAAGATTAGGTCAAAGATGGGCACATGACTTACTATGGGTCAATCACAGCCTTTCCTCATTGTTCTCTTGAGTAAGGCCTTTCATCTGTCTTGTCACATAAGCTGGGAAAGTGTGACTCCTGGATTGCTAGTGTCTTTATTCCTGCCTTGTAGAGAAGGTCTGTTGTTACTAGGAAAAAATATAGATATAAAAAGATAAGGAGATGTGAGTGGTGGACATAGAACTGACTACATTAAACCCAGATTTTCTCTCATTACTACTACTCTTTTTCCATTTCATGAACTACCCCAGGATCTTTCTAATAAACTACCTCCATTCCCTCCTTTTTTTTTTTTCAGCTAGTCTGAGTTGGCTTTCTGTCATTTGCAACCAAAAGATTTTTGACTAATATCACTGCTAAAGGAAAAACCTCAGCTGGAACTTTATGTCTCCCTGTCATGAAGGAATGAGAAAAGCCAGTTCCAGGATGGTAGCAGCAACACCAAGAGGCTGTAATTGAGGAAGGATGCTAGTATATCTATTATAAATGAATTCCATTCAGTTAAACAAAGATCTTTTATAAGAAGAGTGGTAAACAGAAGTCAGCATATATATCTTTTTGGCTTTGCTCTGCTGGAGAATGAACATCTCCAGAAAAAACAAAGTGAGCCAGGAAGAATATATTGGTGCTGGGCTGTTGCACAAGATATATAAACAAAATACAAGAACACATCTCCTGAGAGCAAGGGTTGTATTTAAAGTGTTTTAATATAAGAGACGACAGAATCTTCTCTACTTATTTTTGAGACAGAGAGAGAGAGAGAAAGAGAGATTCATCTTTCTATGGCCAAAGGCCAGGCAATGGACTATTTGGTTGCCCATTTCAGTGACATAATTTTTGCTTGTTAATGAGAAACTGGCTTCACTATAACTCTGTAGTATCAAAGTCTGATCTGACTTCAGAAAAGACTTGTAACTCAATGGTGTTAAAAACACACTTTAAAATAGCTTTAAATCAAAGAAGGCATGTGCCTCATTCCCACTTGGTCCCAAGGAAGAAACATGAGATATTCCCCACATGGGATCCACAAAAGTCTGCCCTGAAAAGATAATATGGGAAGATCTACACTTGAAAAAGATACAGAAAAACTTATCACTTCTAAATAAATAACTCCTAATATACTTGAATTTTATTTGCCAAAAGTGAATTCATACATGACTTTTTAAGACTACACCTCATGGGACGCCTGGGTGGCTCAGCGGTTGAGGTCTGCCTTCAGCTCAGGACGTGATCCCAGAGACCCAGAATCAATTGAGCTCAATTGCATTGAGCTCCCTGCATGGACGCTGCTTCTGCCTATGTCTCTGCCTCTCTGTGTGTGTGTCTCATGAATAAATAAATAAAATCTTTAAAAAAAAGAAAAAGAAACAAAAAGTCTATACCTCATGAACAATGTGAGGAACACCTCTAATACCTTGAATCCTGGAAAGTTAGTACCAGAGGTAGTTCCGTGGAAGTGTGCCACTAGATGGCGTGTCAGGCTAACCCACTGCCCTTCTCTAGAGTTGGGCTTGCTGGCTACCTCTAAGCCTCCTGCCATATTTGGTGAGTCATCTCAGACCACTTAACAAGCTTTCAGGAAATGCTTAAAACTAAATTCAGCAGAAAGTCTTTCACCTAAATGGTGTGATGAGTATTATTAGGATGTATCGTCAAGATTTTTCAGAACCTTTCTGAAGCCTAGTTAAGCCTAGTTCTTTATTTCTTGAATGAATATAAAAATATGATTTTTACATTAAACAAATGGGAATCAATAGGTGCAAACATAAAATATTTTTTCTCCACAACTGTCTAATTTTGATCCATCCCATGGGTCTAGTTCTTCCTTGCTTCTTGAATAAAATCTGGATCCATAATGTTTTTGGTCACTTTTGACTGGTAAATGGACTTCAGTTTGCTTTTAACCCCCCAAATTATTAAAATAGTGATTCATTATAAAATGATCAAACTATGAACAATATGTAAAGTTAAAGCTTTTTGTTCTCTTTTATCTTAGGCTCACTTTATTTGTATTTATTTATTTTTAAAGATTTTATTTATTTATTCATGAGAGAAACACAGAGAGAGGCAGAGACACAAGCAGAGGGAGAAGCAGACTCCATGCAGGGAGTCTGATGTGGGACTCGATCCTAGGACTCCGGGACCATGCCCTGAGCCAAAGGCAGATGCTCAACTGCTGAGCCATCCAGGCATCCCTCTTAGGCTCATTTTAGGCTAGAAGCTTGCTTAGAAAGAAATTCATGTACCTTCTAGATTTATCTCACTTAGCACTTCCATTCCCTCTTCACTCAATTACTCATTTCTCTTGGACCCTCCAGAGAAGGTCCTACCGTGTATACGTAGTCATTATGGAGAGAAGGAAGACAGGTAAGGAGCAAGAAAGGTCTTTCTTCACTGGTATCCATACAGTATGGCATTCTACCAAACATAATTTAAAAACTACAAAATGTATAAGGAAATAAGAAACCATAAGTGAGAGTTAACGGAACTAATGAACTTCAAAAACCTATAAAGATTGCAGAAAGAATAACTGGGTATAAAGTATAAAATTAGTATACTTAACATAGTCAAAGAAATAAGAGGGAATTGTCTACAAGATTAAGGAGCAGAGGGCAGCCTGGGTGGCTCAGTGGTTTAGCACAGCCTTAAGCCCAGGGCCTGATCCTGGAGTCCCAGGATCGAGTCCTGCATCGGGCTCCCTGTATGGAACCTGCTTCTCCCTCTGCCTGTGTCTCTGCCTCTCTCTCTCTCTCTCTCTGTGTGTGTGTGTGTGTGTGTGTCTCATGAATAAATAAAATCTTTAAAAAAAAATTAAGGAGCAGGACAGTATCAACAATGACCATGAAAATTTGAAAAAGAACTAAAGTGAACTTTTAGAAATGAAAAATTTTGAATTGAAATTAAAACTCAAAGAAGGAGATTAGAGCCACTTGAAAATAGTGAACTGGAGGATAAACTTGACGGAATTACCCAGAATACAGCACAGAAAGACAATGAGATGAAGAAGACAAAAGACAGATTAAGCAATATGGAGGATAGAATAAAAAGGCCTAACATACATTTAGCTGGAATCATTAAAAGAGAGCTTAAAGAGAAGACATACTTGACATATTAATAAGTAAGAGTTTACCATCATTAATGGAAAATCCAACCCACAGATTTAGGGAGCACAACAAATCCCAATCTGAATAAAAAAAGAAATCAACACCATGTTAATTAAGCCAAAGAACACAAGAGACAAAAAGAAAATCTTAAAAACAGCCAGAGAGACAAGACAGATACAAAGGAAGGATAATTAGATTGGTAACTGACTTACAAGCAACAGCAAAAGTCAGAAGAGATTGGACTAATATCTTCAGTGTGCCAAAGGAAAATAACTATTAGTCTAAAGTTGCATACTCGGTAAAATTATCTTTCAAGAACAAGAATGATGTAAAGCCTTTGTTTTAGATAACAAAAATGGACACAGCATCCTACCAGAAGACCACTACTAGAGAAAACTTACTTCAGAAAGAAGGGAAAAGATTTCAAAAGAAGATCTGAAATGCAGAAAGAAAAGATGTGTGGAGAAAACATGTAGATATATAAATCAATATTGTATTTTTTCTAGACAATATTTTATAAAGCTGAAAAGGCAAGATAAAGTGAAAACAAAGGACAAAATCAAAAGTCCAGAGGAGGTAGTCAGAGTTAAATTGCTTTGGAGTCTATCTTCAAGTGAACATTTTTAAGGTAACTACTAACAGAATTGAGTCCAGATGCTTCCAGCAAGGATAGGCTTTCTATTCAACCAGAACTCTAAAATCTAGGACTCCCTCGGTAGGGTCTCTCATAAGAAAGGATTAGTATGTCCCCAAGGTAGTTATCCTTTCTTTTGCTAACAAAGATTTTTCAGATCTCTTTGGAACTTAAAATGTCCTCCCACAAATAGCTTCCTTCCTCCCTTCCCCATTTCTAGCAGGCAGATCCTTGTGTCCATCGTGAAAATGAGCTAGGTACCATCACCTTGCCCACCGTCTTTCCTACTGCTCATACTCTCCTGAATGTTAGTCTGTGGAGAGCAGCGAGAGTGGCACTAGAATCTATCCGGGCCATACATAGCATATGAAAGTCTGTGAAAACAGAGATGCCTGGGTGGCTCAGTGGTTGAGAGTCTACCTTCAACTCAGGGCGTGATCCTGGGATCCTGGGATTGAGTCCTGCGTCAGGATCCCTGCAGGGAGCCTGCTTCTCCCTCCACCTGTGTCTCTCTTATAAATAAATAAATAAAAATATTATTTTAAAAAGTCTGTGAAAACATATTTATGCTCTGTTAGTACTTGCCTCCCCTACAATCCCACTGTATTTAACCCTCTAATACAGTACTTAAAACAATCAGAGGCAGTCGTGTATGATTTTTTTTCCCCCTGCTGAGGTTATTTAATGTCAGATCATGATTAAACATAGTTGTGTTAATTAGGAGCTCTTGGTAACAAATGTAGGTGAAATGCTTTATTTAGAGTAAAACATTACAAGCAAAATCACTTTATATGTTTGACACTGAAAAAATCATGGGCAACAGTTATACAACATTTTAGTTTTGATGCCACAGACAAGGCACAAAATAACTAGGCAGGTGACTCTCAAGCAACAGATTTCTGACCCCTTGTCCTGTTTTTCCTTCTATTCCCCTCTTGTATATTCCCAAAAGGAAAATTCTCATGGGATAGTGTCTGATAGCTTTGTTAATAAGCTGGCTTTTCCTTAAAGCCAAGGTAAGATCAAAGTTATTTGTGTCTCTTTTGGTTTTTCCAGAAGAGATGGGTCGGGTGACATGAGCTTGTGTCCAGCCCCAGGAAGAAACTCTAACAAAGCTTCTAAGTGTTAAAGCTGCATCGCCTCCTTCTACATCTAGTCCCTCCTAGCTCTGCCTAAAATCCCCAAATGCAGTGGAGGTGCCAGATAGTTCACTTCTAAGCAGGTTGCCCCCAAGCCCTAGAATTCTGAGTTTCGATGAATTTGTAGTTTGGCTCAGAAGTTCCTCTTCAAGAGGAATCTGAAGTATATTTTTGTCCAAGCCTTTTCTCCTCACAGCACAGCTAATGAAACCAGAAACCATCCTTGAGGGAAGCTGGCTTTCGTGCAGAGCCGCAGTGGAGGAGTGGGGTGGGCAGCATGAAGCAGCCCTCACTGCCAGCCTTCACAGCCTCCCCACTACTGGTGGTGTGTGGGTGAGCACGGGGGCCAGGACTCTGCACCAGGTGCAGACCAGTCAGATACCAGTCCTGGGGAGGGGGGGGGTTTGCAGGATCATCTGGGAAGAACCCTACACAGACAGAGGGAGGAGGGTGTTGGGAGGATCAAAGGCTATAATGCCTGTGAAAGTGCTCTGTAAACAGTGATATACCATAAAAATAACACAAATACATTAGTATTAAACTTATCACCCTCAGGCAGTGCCAAAACTCGGGATACTGCTTAAAGCAGCACAACATTATCTCTGTTCTGATAGTAAAACCCCTTACTTAAAGCTCCACGGATCAGCGTTCCAGGTGACTAGGAGGTAGGATCCTGGCAGGAAAAAAACAAAAAACAAAAAACAAAAAAACTAGGCACTCTTCCTCTAGGACTTTAAGTACCCAGGGTACTATTTTGGTGAATTTGGATCTCTACATCCTGTAAGTCAGTTTTGAACTCTAGCAAGATTCTGGCAGCATCTAAATCTGATGTTGGAAGGGTATATAATGCAGATTTAATTTTTCTTGCCCACCCCACTTTGGGTCTTAAGGTGGAAGAGGGAGTTGACCAGCCAGGCTGATAATTTGAATGCTTCAAAAAATGATTTGCCATTTCCCTTTTCCATTTCCTTCTATTCATGATCTAAGTTTTGCTCAGAATGACATTAAGGGAATGAGAAAATTACCTATAATTCTTGTTGTCAGATCTAAGGTTGTCACAACAGATCACTATTCTAGGATTAGAAACATCTAGAACCGGCTCTTGGGGAGTGTTCCTAGTTTCTCTCTCTGCCTCACACAGTTCTCCTGCCTCTGGACCCTGGCAAGCCGATCCCCACCATCACAGCCAGACTGCTGGGTGCTTCACCACTGCCTTCCCCAAGGGAGTAAGAAGACGTCTGAACCCACCTAATCAATCTCCAAGGAAGGGCCCAACAATACATTTTCAACAGCAATCAAGTAATTTGTAGCTTAGGCAATCTGGGGAAACACTAATCCAGCAGAAAGGATCAGGCTTGAAATCTAAAAGCCTAATTAGATTTGTAACTTCACTAACAGCAATGCTGGTTTATTTCTTCACCTTTAAAGAAAGCGGGGTTGGATTACAATAGTATTTGCAACTTCAGCTTCTCTCAAACGCTCCCCAAAGTCTAGTCAGATGACCTATATGATGTCTTTCAGATTATTTAGAAATACTTAGACATGTGGCCAGGTGTTTTCAGCATGGAGTGCCGCGGGCTACAGTGGCAGCCCCTTTCTACCCCCAGTCCCATGCCAGGTGCAGAAGTGAGGATCATGTGAAGCGAGATGAGACGCCCATTACCTGTGCCAGACTTTCTGTGTGTTATGGAGGGTGGCCAGCAGCACTCACGGCTGCAGAACTGAGGCCCTGGTCAAGCAGAGGCAGAGCGCCCGTGAGCATGCTTGCATGGAACAGCACATGTATCATCAGGTCCATGGCAAATGTCCCCAGCTTCCTAGTGAATCTATGTATGGCCTAAAGAAGCTGTTCTGGGGGATACCTCCAGCCACCTGCATCCACTTTCCCGACATATCCCTGACTCAGCTGTGACTCACAAGCAAACAGCAGCTCCTGCCATCATCCCACTGGGCCTTCTGCCTTCTACCCCTCTCCATCCTAATTCACCTCTTTCAATCAGATTTTTTAATACTGGTTTGTAGAACACTGAGCTTATCTTTAAAATACAATGGACTGACACACACACACACACACAACATTTAAATATCAAAATATACCCATTTAAATTTAAAAACTTTAATTCTCTGGGTTTGTTGTAATTTATCCATAGCAGTATTTCACATTATATGCATAAAACCTCCTACTTCTTTCCTGGGCATGTCTTATTTCCCCTTTTCAATTGCAGGGTCCCAATGGACAGAGATCATCTCTTACACAGGACTTATTTTGTACCCCCAATAAAACCTAGGAAGGAAGCTAATATGTATAAGCCCTTCCTGTGTGGGAAACGCTACTCGGGGAAGAAACAAGAAGACCCACTGAGAAAAGCCACAGGGCTGAGAATGGCCAGCTTTGCCTTTGCTTGTCTAGCCAGTCTTGTCTCTATCCACATACCCAGAAACAACAGTGTTCTCTCTCCTGGGAGTGATTTATGAAGCCCTACAGAGGACAACCTGGTCCTATATCCCCAGGTTATTTCAGGAGCCTGTTATCTTCATGGTTTTGATTGCATTGTCTGTCCATCGTTTTGCTGTCTTTGGGATTGCAGGTTTCCAATTTTAATAATTCTTTTCCATGACTCCCCTAACTTTCTCCAAAATCCTACATGCCCTCGGCTAACAAAAACAATATGTCTGGTCTCTGCAGCTGGTGCTATGGGGCTCTTTGGTGGAGAGAAGCCTGACACAGTGCTCAGTGTGAAGAGAGAATAGCCTCTGAAGCTACCCAATATTCTCCAGAATTGCCTGAGCAAGTTAAAATCCAAAGCTGGTGACTAAGAAATGACGATGTTTAATCATCCTTTCCATCTGAACTGGGGCCCAAACAGACTAGACCTCACTCTCAGAGGCCAGGGACACCAGCAAGTCTAAAATTCAGCACCAGGGTTATGGCTTGTGTCTTCCTGCCCTTGGAAGTGCCAGCACTGGGCTGAACTGTCCCTGGTTCCTCTTAGGCCAAAGCCACTGCAAAGTCCTTTGGTAAGCCAAGTCTCCAAGCATGAGTTGATATCAACTCATCCTTCTGATCCTCACCAGCCACTTCTTTATTTCATTGCAAACGTAGGACTGTTTTAGAAGTGCCATGAAGTAAATGGATACCAGTGGAATGGTGCTCTGAGAATAGGGCCCAGCTCCAGTCAGGTGGTTCTGGAGACCAAGGAGATGTTGAACAAGAAGACTTCATATTGGACTATTTTTTAGTCCAATATAGAAAATTGACCAGTACTGGGAGGCCAAGCATCACTGTCCTGCGTTGATTTGATCCAACCATGTGTCCCACCATAATGGCGTGGGATGAAAAAAAGCTTTGGCAAACGTTTGCCAAAGGTAGTGGAGACTGTGAAACACCTAAGGTTAGATGGAGTCAGGGAGTAAGGGCTGAACATCCAGACAAGAACAGTCAGCTTTTCCTTGAAGACAAACAGACATTTAAAGGGTGCACCAACTTCTCATGCCTTGAATAGGAATCAGCAGTTTGGGCTGGGCTCAGCTAGGCAGTTCTTTTGTCAGTCTTGGCTGGCTCACGCCTGTGTTTGCGATCAGCTGAGACTTGACTGTTCGGGTGTAAGGGCTATTGGGCCTTTTTTCCTCATCATGCAGCGGGGATAGCCCAGGCTTGTTTACCTAGTGGCACCTGCAAGGTTCCCAAGAACAGCAAGAGAAGATAGGCCCCATGCACAAGAATTTTTCAGGTCTCTGCTTGTGTTACATTTGTTTTGGGCCACTGGCCAAATCAAATCACACAGCCAATCCCAGATTCGAGGGGTAGAGAAACAGACTGCACCTCTTGATGAGAAGGGAAGTAGTTGTGGCCATTTTTTTGCAATCTATACAAATTACAAAATCCAGAGATATCTAGCTTTGGGATTTAGGTAATATCTATCATTTTGGCAAGAGTGGGAATAGGAAGTGCTCCTCCTTCCTGAGAGCAATAGCACTCATTTCCCAAAGCATCTAGAGCAGCAGCCTAGTGAGGCAGAGATACGTGCTGCATACATCTCTGGTGTCCTGGAATAACAGAGCTGGAATGGCAGAAACAACTCATGGTAAATGAAGTACTAAACCAGAGAAGACTGAGTAGAGTTTGTGGGGAACACGGCCCGCATTCAGAACATAATGAAATCATATATTCTTTTTCTCTTCAATTCTTTTTCATCATTCTTTATTTTAGGTTACTGTTTCTCCTTCTTTCCCCTTCCTCTTTGCTTTTATATGTGTATTTTAAACTTTATTAAAAGGCACCTGATGACAATTGAATCAGAGTGCAGAGGGAGGGGGGCTCCATGGGTGGCACCAACCTGTGGAAAATCCAGGGGAAGGAAGGATGAGGAGAGCCCTTAATGTCCAAGACTCATATGTCACTGTGCACAGAGGAAAGAAAAACAGCAGTTTGTGTTCTCAGAATGGAAAAAGAAATAACACTTATACAGCTTTTCAAAAAGGTATACTCTCAAAAAAGAAAAAAAAAAAAGTATACTCTCTTTTGTCTTGTTCCAGCCACTCAAGAACTGTCATTCAGAACAGCAAACTGAAGTCATTTCTCTGATTGTCCAGCAGGTCACTGTCACTGAACTCACCAAAGGCCTTCTGATTTGTGTGTAACAATAGTCATTGACTAGTGACTGGGAGGAAATGGGGATAAAAGGTATATTTTGCCCAAAGCTATCTTCCGTTGTCAGTACAAGGCCTTCTTCTAACAGTACTATTAAGTTCTTCTGTCTCTAAGCACAGCACAGAAGGTATAGAAGAACATACTGTAGGCAGAGGCATTTTCGAGGGATTAGCAGTCTGGAGCTAACTCCCTTTCAGAATTAGAAAAGGAATCCTGGTTCGGCTAAGGAAGAACATCAGGCAGGATGAACTCAGTGAGTGAGACACTCCATGTGTGGGAATGTTCTCACACGTAGTCATCTTCCTAAGTTTCTCATACTAGTTAGATATACACTGAGGTTTGGAATCAGCCTCCCTGAAAGGCTGCCCCCCACCCCTTGCCAAAGCAAAGATCAGCAAATCTTCCAAGGTGGTGGCCAGAGAAGGTCCCTGGTGGGCCTGCTGGCTCTTGGATCTGTGTCTTGTCCCGGTAGTCCACTTCTGATTTCTAGTCACCCAGAGAGATGTCTTGAAAACAAACATCAGACCACAAGGGACATCCTGGTTGGAAAGTCACTCTGGAAAAGAGCAGAATGGGCACAGCATTAAACTACACAATGGTTAAAGAAACCCAACATAAGAGGTGGTTCCTTGGGCAGAGTCCACAACCTGTTCAGAGTCTGGCACCCCCTGACTCAGGGCATTTTATCAAGCTTGTGGTCATTATTCCTAAGCCTCAGTTCCTGCTGAAGCCAACATACATGTGACAGAACTTAGCTCTACAGCCAGAGAATGGCTTCCCAACCGCTTAGGGCTAACCACAATGTTCATAACACACAACAGCTAGTGCGGATGGTGTGTCATCAACCCAACGGAACCACAAAGTTCACTCCTGCTCATGGTACTTCATACATCATCTCATTTTTCTCTTTAAAGAACAACAACCAAGAAAAGTTAATTATTTTGGAGGGGTTAATAATCATGTCAAAATTTCTTTCCATTCACATTCTCTCCCCATACCTCACACTAAAGAAAATGTCCACCTTGAATTATGAAACACAAAATGGCGGAAGAGGCAGAGGACCTGAGGAGGGAGCATGAGCACTGGGGCTTGCAGAGGGGCCCCCAGAGCACAAGGGGCAGAGGCAACCCAGAGTGGACATCTGTGACTGTCCCCCAGCCTTCCTCTGAAGTCCAGGGCTCACATTTAGGGGCTGAGGGATGCACTGGGCTGCTCTTGGCATTCACAGAGAAAGCAATAAAAACCTATGTAAGGCCAATTACAAAAAGAGGCAATTAACTGGGCAGGGACCAAAAGGTTTCCCTCACACAGAGCACAATTTTCAGTTTCCATTCAACAAAATGTCAAAGGAGGAAAGAAGTGAGCTGTCCTTCAAAAATAGCAGCAGCTACTAACCTTCTCTGGGATGTGAAGGCTTTGGGAATTTTATGCAAGTCATAAACCCTCCCGGTATGGGGTGGGAGACCTGGGAGGAATGCGCACAGAGGCATGCACAGAACATGCACACACGTCTCCGAAGTCCACCTGGATGACTGCCTCGAATCCCCGATGCTGCACGCTTACAGCTGGTCTTAAGCATCTGAGACCCCACATCCACACACCGCTTATTTCTGCTCTGCGCGAGTGCGCAGGGCCCCAGGCTTACTGACACGACCTGGGGCAGGGCAGGGCAGGGCAGGGCAGGGCAGGGCAGGGCAGGGCAGGGCGCGGCGCAGCAGCGCGAGGCCCCCCCGCAAGCCAGCCCGGCATCCCGGCTCCCCACGGTTCCTACCGCGCCTGCGCGCTCCGTCCCCCCCGTCCCCGCGCCCCCGCGGCCCCCGCCGCCCCCGCCCCCGCCCCCGGCGTCTCCCTCCTCCCTCCCCCTCCCCCCTCCCCCCTCCCCCCTCCCCCCACGGGCAGCGGCGGGCTCGGCCTCACGGGTTTCTTGCTGGGCTCCTTCTTCCGCTTCTTCTCCGAGTTGCTGTGATAGGGCAGGTCGCGGCCGCGGTAGGACGGGCCCCGGCTCAGCTCGCGCTCGCTGTAGGGCGGCAGCGCGTCGTCGGCGGAGTCGTCGTCGGCGGAGTCGTCGTCGTCGTCGTCGTCCTGCGGCGCGGCCGCCTTGTAGGTGGCGGGCGGCGACCAGGCGTAGTAGGAGGCGCTGCGGCGGCCGAGCTGCGCGCTCAGCCGGGACGGCGTCTCGAGGCTGCCGCCGCGGCTGGCGCCCTCGGGCCGGGCCTGGCGCTCCAGGCCGCCGGCGCGGGGCGCGTGCTCGTACTTGGGCGCGGTGCCCGGCGTCCGGCTCACCAGGCGCGGCAGCGGCGCGTCGTCGGGCCGCCGGCGCGGGGGGCTGGGGGCCCAGGCGCGGCCCGCGTCGCCCAGCGGCTCCCGGCTGCGGCTGCGGCTGCGGCCGTAGTAGCCCTCGGGCGAGCCGTCCTGGAAGAAGCCCCCGAGGGCGCGCGCCTCCGGGCGCTCGAAGCGGCCGCCGCCGCCCCGCGCCTCGTGGCTGTCGCCGTCGGCCCTGCGGGAGCGCGCCCCGTACGAGTCGGCGAAGGCGGCCAGTTCGTCCATGGACACGGCCGGCACCCCGGCGGCGAAGTTCTTCCGGGACAGCATCTCGGACTTGGAGCGCTGCTGGCTGCGGGCAGAGGGCACAGGAGCCGGCGGTCAGCGCAGCGCGCCCGGGCCCCAAACTGTAACCCGGACCCGCGCCCCTGCCGGGGCCGGGAGCCCGGGGGAGCCGCGAGCGCGCCCCGCGCCCCTGAGCTGCCTCCCGGCCCCTGGCCCCGGGGCCCAGGCTGAGCAGCCTCCCGGCCCCTGGCCCCTGGGCCCGGGCTGAGCAGCCTCCCGGCCCCTGGCCCCTGGGCCCGGGCTGAGCAGCCTTCCGGCCCCTGGCCCCTGGGCCCACGCTGAGCAGCCTTCGGGCCCCTGGCCCCTGGGCCCGGGCTGAGCAGCCTCCCGGCCCCTGGCCCCTGGGCCCACGCTGAGCAGCCTTCCGGCCCCTGGGCCCGGGGCTGAGCAGCCTTCCGGCCCCTGGCCCCAGGCTGAGCAGCCTCCTGGCTCCCAGCGCCTGGCTGAGCAGCCTGGGACCCCTCTGGCGCTCTCAGACACAGGAAGGAGGGCGACCGCGGCTCTCTCCTGAATTTGTGCTAAGGATCAAAACGCAGCGGTGATTTGTAGGGTGCCGAAGCACACCGTGGGACCCTCTGATCATTGTTATGGGACTTCTGGTTGACAAGCACCTGTCCCACTTCTGGCACCCTCGAAGCCAGCGCGGGTGGTGTGGCTTGTGATACAAACAGTCGGAGCCCAAGGATTCCCTGTAATATCTGGTGATAGACGGAGAAGCCTTTTCCTCCCTCAGAGCCCGCGGCCAAGTTCCCTCTGCAAGTTTCCTGCAGTTGGTAAGTCTAAGAAAAAGGCAATGTCTACTGTCCTTCAAGATGAAGGACAGGTGAGTGGTAACGGTGCTATTCAGTGGGAAGCAGCCATACAAAACAAGGTGCACATCTTGGCCTCCCACGTTCACTGGCCAGGTGACTCTAGGTAAGTTCCTTCACATCTGTACATTTCAGTTTCCCCAACTTAAAACGGAGCCGTTAACAGTACCGCCTTGTAGACTTCTGAGAATCAAACACAGCAGTATAAGGGGTTTGGCATTTTACTTTTCACATAGGAGCGATCAAAAATGATTGAGGGGCACCTGGGTGGCTCAGTCGGTGAAGCATCTTGCCCCCTTGGTTTTGGCCCAGGTCATCATCTCATGGGTGCTGAGATCTATCCTGAGGCCGGGAGTCTGCTTAAAGATTCTCTCCCTCTGCCCCTCCCCTCACCAGTCATTCTGCTGTGCGCACACATGCTCTCTCTCTCAAACAAAATAAATAAACCTTTAAAAAAAAAGTGATGGAAATGATACATGGAAATTTTCAGAGGTTACAGGATAAGATTTTATGAGAAGTGCAAGGAAATGTTAATAAGGTTCCTTAAGGAGCGTAGAGTAGCCATTTCAAATGGACTTGAATGACTATTACTACGCATGGTGTCACAAGTGTTCCCTTGCTTAATCAACATGAGAAGGGGATGTTCAATAGGCCAAAAAGAGGTGTGGCAGGAAAACCTGAATGGGGGACAGAGATGCTATCGGGAACTGACAGTCTCAGAGCCACCTTGCCTTCCAGCTCCCACCCCTTGCATCAAGCACCAGAGCTGCAGCACTGGCACAGCCATCTTCACCTGTACCTGAAGCTCTCCCGATCCTCTTTGTTATATTCCATGGCTGAGGGTCCCCGGCTTGCCCCACCGCTGCCTCCCATGACACCCGACCAGTAGTCAGGATTGCTCTCCAAGTCCCCGGACACAGGGAACTGCTTGCTTCTCATCTGGTGGTAGGCCTGGCGGAAATTGCTGTCTTCCTCATGCAGAGAGCTGAGTTCAGAGATGGTGTTGTTATCTGCAGGGACAAAACCAGGCATGATAGACCTTTCTACATATCAGGATGGGAGCTCTGTTAAGGGCTGAGACCAAGGCTCTGGGGAAACACCCTCCCGAAGGCCTCAATCCTGTCCATGTTTTGTTGTAGGCCTGAACTAAGCTCAGCAGGAACTGGCTCCATCCAGAAGCCCCCTTGCTTATAGAGAAGAAGACTTCCTACATGCTCTGATCTTAGAAGAGGAAAACAATTGTTTCTGTTCCACCTAAGGCACGTTTCCCAGAAGTTGGGCTTTTTGCAGCTGGTTTCCTCCTAAGACATCATCATCCTTGTTCCAGTGTTTTTCTTCTTCTTGTATACTTCTGTGAAAGCCATGATGATCCCGGGCATGAGGACACAAAATGGGCAAAAAAGAGAGAGAAGCTACAGTTCACAAAATCTTCCTTGCTTTTGGCCGAATCCCAAGATGGGTCTTTGGAACCAGAATAGCCCCATGCTTCAGAGGAACCCATTCCAGCCTCCTCCAGCTGTGCCCTTCAGCACAGAACATAGTCCACAGGGTCAAGAGGACTGCATACCTAGTATCCAATCATCCCCTTTCTGTATGCTCATCCAGGAATGTGGACTACCCTTCTCAATTGGTACCAAGCCCATTTCCAGGGTCTATAAAGACTTCTTTGCCTCCTCAAAGAGTAATCCAAGTGTATGTGGCCATGGGTAACTAGGACAGCTGTGTTGAGGTATGAGGAAAGAAGGGAGGTTGGCTGCACTATGGCCTGTTGGCTCCACTTGTACTTTTCCTAAACAACTGTAAGGGACGGAGTGGGGGTGGGGGGTTCATAGTTTTCTCATTTCCTAAAGTGGCCTAAGTAGCATTTTGCAAAAGCACTTGTGAACAAGACCAGAATCACAGTCTAAAAGAAAAAAAAAAAAACCCAACTATTTATTTATAGAACTTTGAAATGGATTGCATTTCATTTTACTTAAAAAACACAGCTAGTGAATCTATTTGTAATGCAACTGGATCCATTTGTTTTCTAAAATCCTTTGATTAGAACTTAAAATATTATCAAAATCAATATTTACAAAGTATCAGGACTGGCTATTGAGCAAAAGGTAAGCCAACATAGGATGTGGGCAGCAAAAATATGTGTCTTGGGTTCCCCTCAACTTCTCTTTTCCTATCCCCAACAGTTCTTGGTGGAACAGAGAATTTTGCTGACTCCCACCCATAAAGAAAAGGAAGGACCTGCCCCCTGCCTCCTCCCCCCTGGATAAACACAGCCTCCTTGTCCTGTTTTACCAGGTCTGGGCTTACTGCAGATTCATTTTGGTCATGTAATCAGTTGGTTTTGAATTATGATCTAATTTTTAAACGTTTTCATCCTTCTAAGGAGAATGGATTAGTCAGTGACTATTTGAAAGGAAAATAACTCAGATACTACTGATTAATAAAATCTAGAACCTCCCTTTTCTCATGATCCCAGAGAATTCTAATCTCCTGAGAACAGTAAAGAACTTTAAAACACATCAAACAAAACTATTGAAAAATCACATTGTTGGCTCAGAACTTTCCTTAAACTTCAGCGAATAATGGATCTTTTCCATTTCTCCACATACTGAGGGCTACCTCAGTGTCACCATTCATAGTGACGGGCTGTCTAGGTTGTATACTGCTCTAACATTTCTGCCACATTGAACTTAAACATCAACATCCCTGCTTCACAAACACCTGACAATGTAATTCTAGGACAGGATAAGCAAACTTTTTCCATAAAGGGCCAGATGTTAAGTATTTTAGGCTTTGTAAGCCATACTGTTACAATTACTCAACTCTCATGGTAGTGTGAAAGCAGTCACAGACAGTATGTAAGTGAACTGGCATGGTTCTGCTCCAATACAAACTATTTCTAAAAACTGGAGGTGGAACATATTTGCCCTGGGAGCTAAAGTCTGCAAGATCACTGCACCAGTTTCCGGACTAAAAATATCCCAAGAGCAACCCCCTACTTAAAAGAGACAAGGAAAGTGAGGCTCTTATGGCTAGCAAATTCACAAACCTGAAATTCCCAGTTCTTACAGATTCATGTACCAACCCGAAACCATGAGATCCATTTTACAATGAGATCCTCAAAGACTGTCCCACATCCATGATCCACCCCAGGGTTTATTCTGCTCTTCAGAAATAGAACCTCTCAAAGCCAAGTGAACTGTATTCCTATTTCATCTCTATGCAATTATTGTCATGTCAACCTGCAGGCTCCAGAAGATCTTGGTTCTAGTTTTGGCACTGAGGTACCAGCACTGGGTACTTTCCCTCTTTGCTCCCTCTGTAAGATGAGGGAGGTGGCTTCAACCATCTCAGTCTCTTCAGCTCTAACATACTAAAGTCCTAGGAGGTAGAAGGCTGTGATCTCTGAACAGGAACAGCTGCTACAGCCATGGAGCCATCAATTTGCTCAAAAATTTATTGTGTAAAGAGCCCAGGACTGGGAGTCAGACAAGCTGGGTTCTAATCCCGGTCCAGTCACTTCAACCCTTTGGGTTTCTGTTTCCCCAGCTGTACATTGCGAAGATTGATCTTGGCCATCTCTAAGGTCCCCTGGGATGCTAAGATGCCATTACCTTAGGACCAGCCAGTCCCTGGAGACCACTGTAATCCAGATGGCCAGGAGACATCACCTTAATCAGGATCCATCCTTTACTTTTAACCTCAGTTTTTAACTCTTTCTCGGAGCTGAGAGATCCACAGATTTCCTCCCCAGGTCCCTTCTCCTTGGTCGCCGTTTCTGTCCCCTTACAGGGCTCCATGACAACACATTACAACTAACTCGTCAAGTGCAGTGACATCTGCATTCCTGACATTCCAATCTGGAGATGGTCTTTTTATAGTCGGGGCGGTGGGAGGATGCAGCGATGGATGCGGATCAGACAGGATGAATTTAGCATTGCAAACTGGGAGGAATATGTTGTCCTTAATCTGAATAAAGCGCCTCTAGTCTGGGACTGTTTCCCCAACAATTCCACCAAGTCTCTCTTTGCTTCCAAGGCAAGCAGGGTTCAAAGAGAGAGAGACACAGTGACCTCACTGCCGTGCCTGCCAGCACCGCCCAATAATTAGCCCGTCCAGGTCAGACCTGCCCTGTGCTCTCTCTCATCATACATGGTAATTTGGAATCCACCCCCAAATAATCAGCTGTACCAGCTGCAGGGTGTCCAAGGGCTGTGGGTGAGTTAAGGTTGGGGCCTTGCCACCTACAAACTCAGTAACTTAAAAGTCCTTTTGACAAAAGGGGCACCTCTTTGCTAGCCCATTAATCTCTGCTGCTGGGAATCTCAGAGGAACACAGGCTTCTTCTTTGTAGATTCATTGGGCCAACTTATTCTTCTACTTCATCTAGGCCTCCATGTAGCAAGTCGGCAGCTAGACCATTCAAGGGTAGGAGTTTTCATGTTGGAAAAAACTCACCTTTTTAGTCACTATTTTGAATATATTTTAAAGAGAGTAGTAGGGAAAGACTCTCTGAATAAAACTTTTCCAACCCCAGGATTGCATAGGCCCAGCAATGCTGACTGCCCCACAGAGAGAAATAACATAAACCAAGGTGGTCCACCAGAAGCCCTGTTTCTCCCTTCTGTGGACTTAGAGCTACTTTCTTCAGGGCATCACCAGCATCCCTGTTAGTTCAAAGTCCTGGGAGCTCAGGGCTGCCCAAGTTTGCTAACCCTCAAATCCCCTTTAGCTGTGAACTCCTGCATGATGCACAGATCACAAAGAAGTAACTGATGCTCACATCTGCCTCTCATCCTTCTGGCTGGATCAAACTGAGCCAGCTCCTTCTCGACGTAGTACAGGACCTTCATGGAGTCTCTCTCTTTGTCAGCTTGAATCCGGTAACCTTTGCGAACTGTTGAGAAAGGGCAGGAAAGGGAACTGAAAAAAGCAGGAGAGGACCTCCACTTACTTTACCAAGTAAAACACTTGGCTCCTGCTTATAACAATTCTTTTTGAAATCACCAGAAATAATCATTTACGTTTATACTTATGGAACCATACCTGAGATCCCTTTTATCAGATGGTGCCCCTGGAATGGAGGAACAGCAGGTAAACAACAAAATTCTATTACAGTATAGTTTGGGTCATTTGTTACCGTCTGCTTCCTACCCTCTGACCTCCTGTAGCTCCACGTAAAGCTCAGAGACGTATACTTACACTAAAAAAAGACAATTTTCTAGACCGAGGACACAGATCACTCTATACCACCTGAGGATCACATCTTTACTTGGTGGGAGCACATGTAAATAAAACAGACACCCAAACATCAGGGACCTTGATGAAGGTAGCCTAAAAGCCTCTAGTTTCATGGGAGATGATGTAAAAACTCCGTAACAGGGTGGTGCATAAGAGCCAACATGATTGACAATAAGACACATTAGTGCAAAATATGTGGATTGCTAATTATGGTTCCATTTTATTTCTTCGACATTTTCCTTTTAGGAGAGGGAATACCATATTCTAGACATGATTAATTCAACCTGCTGCTATGTGGTTACAAGCAGGTGTTGTTTGGGGGGCTTAATAAAAACATTAATTTTTATTAATTTTGTTAATAAAAAACAAAATTAAAGCATGAGAGATAGACCACTTCCAATGTTCCCATCACTCATAGTCTCAGGAGCAAAGCCTGTTTAAGCCCCACATCACTTAGTATCAGTCAAGTCCAATACCAGCCTCAAGGGTGATCAGACACAGGCAAGTGTCATCTTTACAAATAAGAGAAACAAGAGAGAGAAAGAACGAATGGAACGGGAACAGGACAACAGTGGTGAGAGACAATACTCATTGGGTACTGTAAATGTGCTAGGTACTGTGCTAAATGCTTTACGTGGACATTTGTTCCTCACAAGCCCTACTGAACTTAATATTAGCCTCATTTTACGGTTGTGAAAACTTTGGCTCACAGAGGTTTCATAACCTGCTCAAGAATAACTGGCAGCACTGGGGCTAGAACTATGTACCTTGTTAGAAACCTCTCTGGAGCCCAGAAGTAGAGGTAGTAAGGAGAGACAGAAGAGGAAGACAAGAAAGCCCAGAGTAGGAAACACTCATAGGTGTGCCACGGCTGGTATGATCAGTCCTATCTTCAGGCCAGTCAGGACTATACAATGGGATGGAAGCAAGTAACCCAACTCCCAACATTCTCTGTTTCCAAAGCAGGGCAAATACCAAAGATACCACACGACTGCATGTGCCTCCAGAGGACATTCTGCTTTCTGCTTTCTAGTCGTGTTACCCTGACTGTGGACAGAGTCCTGCACACAAACTGTGCACATGGGAGATTAAAATAGAGTATCCCACAGCACTCTGATCACAGCCCTGGCACTGAAGACTAAAAGAACATCCCCACACCCATTTGCAGGTGCACTGATTTTTCTGTATGAGAACATTCTGAGTTGTTCATATTCACCTCAAATTGTGGAATTACTTTAAAAAAATTAATGAATCTCAGCACACGCTTTTAATCTCAGCACACCTTCTCCTGGGGGTTAGAGCCCATAATCCTTATGCCGAAGCAATTATTAATAGGAATTATTTTATTTATCAAGCTACACACTATTCCATCTCTGCAGAGGCGTTTACAGAGTTGTACAGACAGTTCAATTAAAATGCAATTATCCCACGGAACCGCTATGTCTGTTCTGAGGCAGTTATGTCTGATGGATGAAAAACACAGGGCTAGGAAGTAAGGGATCAGGCATTTGTAGGCATGTTGCTGGTTTATTGAGGGACCTCAAATAAATGATGACCTATCAAGGATCCAGTTTTCATGTCTATAAAACGCAACTAATACTTCCCAGCCTTTGTCTTCATAAAAAAGAGAAGACAAATATAGAGAAAAATTTAAAAAGAAAAAAAGAAGATGACAAAGACCAAATCAATAGATTACTCTGAGTTCTTTATAATTATTAGGGGCAGCTCAAATGGCAACACATCCAGAAAGCTTTCTCTGATTCTCATAGCTAGAAAATTCTATATCTTCTCTCTCTCTCTCCACCTCATTTCTCTCTTATAAATCATTTACTTTGAACTTTCACTATGACTTTCAATATATGCTACTTTTTTCTAAATTATTTGTATAAATGTCCAATCTTCCCAGAGATACTTGAAGGAAAAGAATTCTTTTTTTTTTTTTTGAAAAGAATTCTTATTCTAAATCAGTGTAAAGCCAAGGACACTGCTTAGTAGGCACTTAATCGATGTTTGTTTGAGATGAACTGGTGCCAGTCTGGGGATGGTAGTGGAGTTAATGACTTTTTTTGAAAACAGTATTTTTAGTAGAGTTTCCCCCTCTAGATTGTAAACTTCCTGAGGATAAGGACCAGTTCTCTTTGTCTCTGCATCCCCACCACTTAGCACAGAGCCTAGCACACTGTAGACACTCAAAACATGTGTGTTTGTATGAATAGGATGAATGAATGAATGAATGAATGAACAGAAACTAGGAATAGAAACCACATTACAAGGGACTACAAAGTAAGGCAGAAGCAGCCATGTAGTTGGTTTGTTGGAGAGTTTTGACCAGGAAGGGAAGAACTTGAATGGTAGCTTGAGGGAGCAGCAAGTTTTCAGCAAGTTTTGTTGTTATTGTTGATGGTGATTATTTTTAAAATGCTAGGATAAAACTAGCATTTTATAGGCATTAGGGAAAGGGCCTACTCTACCCGACTTATGGCTTTATCTAGGTGCTTTTAATATGTGAAGCACTGTTATGGTACATAGTCAGTCATTCTGAGATAAAGTGGAGGTGGGGGGTGTTCCTTCATGGAACAATGTACTGGCCGTCCCCTGGTGGTGAGAGATGGTGGCCACTCTGAGCAACAGCTGGAAACCTCTCAGTTAATTGCAACTTGCACTAGAGCATAGACTGTTTTCTGTGTCATTATAACAAATTACGGTCCTGATTATGAGACAGATTTGATTACGTATGCACAGGTTATCATGTCCCTGAAAAGTTACAGTAACTATTTCCAGCTTCAAAATGAAGATGGTAGGTTTACCTTTCAATACTGGTATTATAAAGGGACTCCACTGGAATAGATATTTTCAGCCTTGACTTCTCAGTCACCCCAGCTAATATCTCCATAAATCTATGTCCCTTTAATTTGCCAAGAAGTATTGATATTTAGACTTTAAAGGGATCATCCACTTGGTTTCAGTAGCTAAAAAGCTAGGCAATTCTCCCAGTAAAAGATGTTGGCTTTTGTTTTGCTTTGTTTTGTTTTAATCTGTAATTTGTCTGGAGATCAGAGAACTCTGATGTATGGTGATATTTTAATAAGATGTGTCCTAGACTATGGGCCAAAGTCCAGCACTTTTTTAGAAAATGACTTCTCCCCGCAGGGATGTTTCAGTTTAGGTTGGATGGATGATTTATTTATCTTTTTCAAGTTCTGTCTGGTCCAAGTCCTTTGGTTGGTGTGGCTCTTCATACTTGAGCTCCTCTAATTTATTAGCCTTGCCAACCTTGGTTTTAGTGAAGAGGGAATATTGGGATATTCATTCTGATGCCAAACTGTAACTTCAAAAATTCCTATTGTTAAGGCAGTTGAGCTGATACTTTTGACCCAGTTAACTGAAAATTAACTATTTTTCAGCTAATTTCTCCTTTACAGCTAAAACTAACTTATAAACTTGCAAAAGAAGTCTCTAAGGCAGATACCCATGGATATAGCCTTGTTTTTCCTGTCCTATCTTAATGAGCTAAGTAAGGCTGTTTATGGATGATGGAACAGCTGCCAGATTCCACCCCCAGGGTGATAGCAGCTCAGTTGTGGGAGAAGTGATGCTTAAAATTTGCATATTCTCTGTATACATACAGTAGGCATATATATAGACACACATCCTTATTAGTTTTGAAAATGACATTTCAAAACCCTACTTGCCTACTCAATTCTTTTGTAAGAAGGATGAGTGGGGGCCAGGTAGATGTGAAAATGAATTAGAGCAAAGCAAGAGAAGCTGTGGGAAGCCAAGGTAGGAGACAGTTGCATTAATTAAGGAAGGAGATGATGGTAGCAAGGACTAGGATGGTACAATACCGAGATGGAGGAAAAGTAAACTGATTCAAGGTTATTTTGAGGTATAATCTGAAGGATTTGGTGATGAACCAAAAGAGGGAAATGAGGAAGAGATAAGGATGAGGTCCTTGCTTCTGGTCTGGGCTGCTAGGTGGACAATGGTGCCATCCACTGAGATAAGAATTGTAGACGTTGGTTTGAAGTTGAAAAACAGCAGATTAATTCAATTTCCTAGAGTTTAAGCTTGAAATGCCTGTGAGATGTACAGAAGGCAATTTGATATATCGGACTGAGGAGCAGAGGAGGGGTTGGAGACTGGGAGTCATGAGCATGGAGAAGATGAGAAAATGACTGAAGCCACAGAAGTAGGTAAGATTTCCCAGAGAGAGGACCTTGGACAAAACAGGAACCCCAACATCTGGAGTGTGTCAGAGGAAGGGCAGCCAGCATATAGTGAAATAGGTAGGGAAAATCGCTAAGTAAAGTGTTGAGGAAGGCAAAGAAAGAAGAGTATAGCAGAGGTGGTAAATGCTTTTGAGAAGTCAAGGGGCTTGAGAATTGAGATGTAGCCATTAGATTTAGCACTAAGGCAATCTTCACAAGCACTGGTTTTTGGAGTAGTGAAAGCTACTGCAAGATGGAAGTAAGGAATTGGTAAAAAGCAGAAAAAAGCAGAGGAAATAGAGACATGAAATATTCAAAATGTTGAAGGAGTTTGGCTGTGAAGAAGAGAAAACAGACAGGCAACTAACATCAGAGGACTATGGGGTTTTTGCAAATTATTATATTTTAATGGGAGAGATGTAAGCATGGTTTGAATGCTGAGAGGAAGGAGTCACTAGAGAAGAAAAGGCTGGCGATGAGAGGGAAGGAAGATTGGCTGGCAATGAGAGGGAAGATTGGATGGACTGTGGATTCTCAATAAAAAGGGAATCTTGACAAAGCTGAAGAGGCTGCATCCAGAGGAGGATAGGACGAGACAGTCTTCTTCTATTGGAACAGAGATCTCAAATGAAGAATGGGAGAAGGAATCAGGATGCCTCTTCTTGTCTCTCACATTTGGTAACCCTGCCTTTTCAACTACCCAGAGGGTTCAAAAGGGCATGTGTACAAATGTAATCTTAAATAAGTCACTGTTGCTAGACGATTACCCTAAAATTGAAGTAGCATATAAATATAAAATAGGACAAATTTACATATTTATTAATCAGCATTTCTTAACATCTCTAACATTCTTTTTAAAAGAAGCTACATGCAACATTGGCTTAAGCCACCTTTGCCTTAAAGAACAAATAGCCAAATGCCATCATTAAGTCTAGCCATGGGACCTTGAGTTCAGAAATGTGTCCACTGGAGGATCATGGAGAACTCCATCCTGACTCTGTGAACCAGACAATGACACCCAGGGCCAGACTAGCTGTGGCCAACATCAGCTGTGCATTCTTCCCTTTTCCCTTGCTAATAGAATACTGATTTTATTCACTTCTAAGGTGAATAGTGTTCTGAGCTCAGAGATGAGTCTTGACTAATTCAAGCCAATCTGGTAGAGAAATGGGCACAGGACATGGTTCTTGCCAATGAAACTGCAAGGAGAAGTCTGTTAGAAGGGGCAGGGGCTTCTGGAAGAGGTTTCCTCACTCTTGAGAAAAGCAACACAAGGAAGAAACATATCTTTTTCCATCTCTAAGCACATTTAGTACCTGAAACTATGGGAGTCATGATAGGATCATGAGGAGAGCTAGCCCAGAAGGACAGAGCAAAAAGATGGAAAGAACTAAGTCCTACACTGGTACCATCTGAACCAATCAATTAACCAACCCCAGAGCCATCTTTCCTTGGGATTTCTTGCTATGTGAAATAATAAATGTTCCTATTTTTCAAGCCACTTCTTTTGTTTTTAAAAAAGATTTATTTATTTATTTTGAGAGAGAGAGAGCAGGGGGGAGGGGCAGAGGCAGAGAGGGAAAGAGAATCTCAAGCAGACTCCACCACCTTGCTGAGGGCAGAGCCTGACACGGGGCTCGATCTCACCACAAGATCATGACCTGATCCAAAATCAAGAGTTGGATGCACAACTGACTGAGCTACCCAGGCACTCCCAAGCCACTTTTTTTTCTTTTTAAAGATTGTATTTATTTATTCATAGAGACAGAGAGAGAGAGAGAGAGAGAGAGAGAGAGAGAGACAGGCAGAGGGAGAAGCAGGTTCCATGCAGGGAGCCAGACGTGGGACTCGATCCCAGGTCTCCAGGATCACACCCCGGGCTGCAGGTGGCACTAAACTGCTGCGCCACTGGGGCTGCCCCCAAGCCACTTCTAATTACAGTTGGTTAGTATGGCAGGATGGGGCCAAAATGATTGAACTGCAACAAGCAGGAAATAGAAAAAGGTTTAAATCAGTAGAGAGGAAGTACTTATCCTATGAATAAGAATTATTAAGAATTATTTCATTATGAGAATCCATTTCTTAAAAAGTAAGAAGGAACGGGTTCTGGTGGGAAGGAAGGATAAAACAACTGGAAAAAAGGGGAAGCTGCAAATAAAATATGAGACAAGTTCCATTAATGTCCCTTGGCCCACTCCATCCTTGGAGAAATGAACTGTATTGTCTTTATCTCTCTAATTCCCTGTGTGTCCTTGATCATTAACTTTTATTTCTCAGTCTGTGACTCATTCCCAGGCTCAGACGTCAGAATTCTACTAATAGTTCCAGGGAGAGAAAAAACCTCACAAATACCAATTACTCACTGAGGATATCCACTCCTTCCACGGTCAAGCACTGACAGTTCAATCGTGGGCCAGATACTCTTCCCCTCTCCCAACACAGGAAGCCAGGATACCTCCAGGGGAGAAATGTCTGTTTTACCAACCCTACTGGCTCATCCACACCTAGGGATTTAAAAATCACCTCCTGCATATACTTCACACACATCTAACCTTTACTACCCTGTTCAAATGCCTCCAGGGAAGCTAATTTTAATGCCCCTCCACCCCTCTACTCCTCTGCCCCTGCCAATAACCATGAATTCATCATTCCCTAAATAACATGGCTAATACCCACCCAAATAAACCCTTCTTACCAATTACTTAATTCTATGATGTACATCACTGGGCAACTTGGGCTCTTCCTGAACCCTCCCTTTCCTTCATTCCCTAAGGTCACATTTTGAAGTATCTCTCAGATTTACCTAATCATTTCAATTCCCATGGCCTCTATCAGGACCCAAGTGCTCTCATCCCCCCTTAATGGCTTCAATCACATCTCAGCTTGGGATCTCTGATCCCACTCTCTTCCATTACCACTCACCTTGGCAGCATGTCACCTCTTCAAGAACTCAGGAACCTTCCTGCAATGGCTCCCGCTCACTTATGGCACCAAACCCTGGGCTCTCCTGGATGGGTTTCAAGGCCTTCTCTAATCTGGATGAGGCTCCACCAAAGCCCTCCACTTTCTTCCAGTCAGCCACATTGGAGACTGTCAAACACACACACACCCTGTTCTTCCAGCTTCAGGCTTGCACAGTGTGTCCATCCTGGGGGGTAATCAGCACCTCCCTCTCTGCTCTCCTAGTCCTTTGTCTCTTCTAAGGCCCAGCTCAATTTCACCACTTCCCTGAACACTCTGTAACGCTCCGGCTCTTTCTCCTTTGAACTCCTAGCACCATACTCTTTGCAGTATCTAACTGTCCTGATAAAAGTACATTCTCCCTCCCTGGATGGACCCTACTGCTTTCTGCAGAAATCCCATCCTATACATCTTAATGTCCCTTACAGTACCTGTTACACTCCTGAACACTAGGTGGGGAGGAGATAACTATTTATTAATTGGATGATCAACATTCAAGGTGTACCTTGCCTCTTTTCCTTATCATTTTAGTTATTGAGGAGCCTGGGAAGAAAGCAAAGACAGCTACACCCTGCAGTCCTTTGGAAAGCCTGCATTGCACTCCAGATGACATCTGATACAGCTGGAGGGATCCCATTTCTGGAATGGAGATCATTGTTTTCCAAAGAAGAATCACGGAGCTGATGGTTCTTATCAGTAAGGAACCAGAGTAGAAGCCAGAGAGGAGCATGGGGCAGGGCAGTCTGGAACTACATTTACCACTGTGGCTTCCTCCAGTGGAGTCACTTGGTGCCAGGGGAGGTGGATGCGGCTTGTCCATCAGCATGCCAGATGAGGGGGCTCCTCCCAAGGGGACAGAGGGGATGGAGTAAGGGCCGGGGACACCGGAGACAGAGGGAGGGTACCCGGCCTTTGCTGCTTTCCCTGCTTCATACACTGTGGAGGGAGATGAAGAGCAAAAGAGATTATATTATCATCCCACCCTCCACAACCCTCACACCAAAACTGCCTGAGGATTCGCTCAAGGGAGCTCCCGGGTGTGTGCCTGTGTGTACGTGTGCTCTCCTAGGCCTGAATTGATTCATCAGAACCACTCTACCCCACTTCCTTGGACTCCTCCAGCTCCACCAAAAATGAATGACATAAGGAATTACAGTGTTTAGTACCTGGCAACTGAGTAATTAAGCAGTACTAGGAGCTGTCACAGCAGCCTCCCCGGTGACAGCCGCAGCCCACTCAACCACACTGTCTGCAGGCCGCCTCAGTCCCTCTGGAGGAAGCCTAGCACTGGGCTACCCAGGGCTGCTTCCAGGAGGATCCTGAACCCTTTTAGAAAGGCAGGGCAGGCAATGAGCTTGCACTTGGCTCTGCTGTGATCTCAAAAGCAGAGCAAATAATCTGACTCTTCCTGGAAACTGCTTTATTCCTAAGGACATTAAAGATACATGTATGTCTTTCCCTTGAGGATGTATTTGGTTTCTGGCAGGGGTGCCCAACATAGTGTCTACATGGGCTTGGCCATTAAGATACAATTGTGAATTCTCAAATGAGGACTAGTCCCTTCGTGGACTATTGTGTCATGGAAATAAATCAAACTCATCTGTGGCTAGATGGTATGCAAAAGCTGCAGTTTGCACACTCTGCTTGTAAAAAGAAGAGTTCTCTGTATATGAGAGGCATGACCAGAGAAGGTTTCCTCTAGCCTAAATGCCTGAAGAGAGGGCAAAAGCCTTACTCACAACCTGACCATCTGGAACCTGCCCTTCCTTTCATCAGTAGTTCCAATGACAAATGCAAATGCATGGGTGATTGGTGTGAATAAAGAGTATGGAGAAGTGCATGCAGGCGAGAAGGCAAACAAGAATGGCCATCTCAGGAAGCCAGGAGCTCCCAGCAGAGTGAACCTGGAACAACCAACTTTTAAGGTGGAAGGAAAGGAGGTGGAGAAGGAATCAGGGCACACAGCTGTCTGATGGAGAGGTGACATCTCTTCTGATCACTCCTTGTCTCCCCACTGGTCACTTTACTCACAGGCCTGAGGGCAGCAGCAGGAATCTGGACAACATGGGCACCGGATGTAGCAACAGCAGCTGTGAGGGCAGCACTGGCACCAGCAGATTCCCACCAGGACGAAGAAGAGGAAGACTCCCAGGATCACCAGGCCAACAAACACCCACTCTGGAAGGACGCACAGAGAAACCCACACTGGAGGTGGCCCACTGTTGGGACACACACACTTTCATCACTGTCTCCTGTGAGAAGAGTGGGTGAGAGGGACCTGGGGAAGTAAGCATCTCATGACAAGGCATGGAGCCCTCACACTCAGGAGGAACTCTGAGAGTGAGATGTATTGGCTTTACAGGGTAGGGATATGGAGAAGGCGGAAGAAGGTTACCTAGGTCATACTGAGCACATGTAATGACCAACACAAAGTGACGGGGGACTTTTGGGACCCCCACCTGAGAAGAGGGTTTACCATATCAACTGTAGTGTCAGGACAAGTATGGACAAGAGCAGAAAGACTCCTGGCTGGGGAGAGGAGGAATCTTGCTTGCTGAGCTATGACGTGGTGGGTTCTGTGAATATGTTCCTTTTGTGGTCAAGTTATTCTTACCTACAAAAATATAAGTCCTGAGAAAAAATTCTCTATGTCTCCGTGATCTTATTTAGGTGGTCTGGGTCCCTCATGTATTCATCTATTTTCTCTGTTGAGCACCCCCATAACACCTGTACTCAGCATCAGGGCTGAGACCAAAACCTTTTGCTTATACCTGTGTAACAAACCATGGCTAGAGAAAACTAGAGACAAAGACTCAGGTAGAGAATATGCTGTCCCCATGCCCCAAGAATGGCTTGGTTTGATTGTACTCGGGCTAACCACGCTAAGTAGCCAGCAGAGCCCCAGCTAAAATGGTGCAGGGCTTTGATGACTATATTGGCTGTTTGTTAACTTCTGCTATTGTCACACCTCTACCAGGGGCTGAACACAAATTCTAGCTCATCTGCTAATCCAAAAGATTAGAGAAAGGAAACAAATTCCATTTGGCTTAGTAAAAAATCACTGTGACCCTCAAGTGACCTTATGTCACGCTTTCAGGACTTGGCTACAGGACCCAGCTTCCCACTGAGGCCTAGGACAGGCTGGAGCAAGCCAGGATTTCCTTTAAAAGTCCAAAGATTAAAGTGATTCATCTTGATTGAAAGCCACCTACCCCAAATCCCTTTACAATGAACTTTATGTACATGTTGTTTCTTGAATTTTGGTTATTAAATATTCCTTCAATTAAATGGTCATTCAGCTGGAGCTTGAGAATATGACATTTTTGTTGTATAAAGTGTTCTGTGTTAATGATAAAATTATCTGACCTTTGTTTAGAACATAATTTCCTCAGGAAGAAAACAAATAACTTATGTTTTCTAAATGTCCCTCCTTACTCAGCCATGTGAAATACATTCAAATTAATCAGGTCACCATCTCTTCGGGGAGGAAATGAGGTCTTGCGCTTGCTGAGGATGGTCTGGAGAGCATTCCTGCTGAGGACAACAGATAGCGGAGGGCTTTGTCCTGGGCCTCATCTACAACACAGTAACATTATGTAGTCTGAGCCAGAGGTGAACTCTGAGGAGCAGAGGTGTGGGGTGGCTACAACTAGAGTCAGGCAGTCAATGGTATAAAGACTGGCAGGTTACCTTGGAGGAACAAAATAATGTTATCCATGGAAGGATTCGTGGGGGTCCAAAGGGAGGGATATTCAAGGGACAAGGACCAGATATGAAAAATACAATAACTCTTTCTTGGGACTGGGGGAAATAACATCTAGTTTGAGGCAATGCTTTGTAACATTGTGTGTGTAAGGAACGAATGAGTACATGCTGACAAAACTGGATAAGAGGAATTACAAAGAGGTATCCATTTGGGTCCTTGGGATCAACAGTAATATGAAGACTGTCTATATTTGGGTTGGCCAGCTCATGGCAAAGCAGGAAAATTTATGGAAGAATAATTAGTGAAACTCAAATGTAAAGATTATGGATGTTTAAAGCCTGAATAGAGTCAAAACCAATGGCCAGGAATGTTTTGTATCTCTCTGTCACTCCCAACTATTAACTCTTTGGCAGAAGCAAGACTGAATTATACATAGTAAAGACTATGTATTTCCTGAGTTCAGATATGTCCTTTCCTGTAGTTCATTCTAGTTTCTCTCTGAACTTCCATCCACTATGGACTCTGGGGCTGCACCAAACTCATGTTGGCTTGTCTAGGCTGCGGCAATCAACTCAAGCTACATAAGATGACAGAGGTGTGCATTTGGGGTTTCCTTGACACCTGGTTGGTGGATCTCGGGGACTCAGGGGGCCCAACAAGCCTCTGAAATTGTATACTAAGCAATGTCTCTAAGAGTGTAGTTCAAGGGAGGAGGCGTGCATTACTTTCATAAGGCTTGAAAAAACATTTTTTGATAAAGTTATAAAAGGCAATTCAGAGTTACATGATTGTACACTAATGAATGGATAAACATATAACTTAGGGAATAAGGAAATGCGGATAATAATAACTCTGTTAAGGATACTTATAGGTGTCTCGGTACAGCTGAGACACTGAATTTGGAGATTGCCAAAGAGCCTGCAAGGCCTGACATGGAAGGACTGGGTCCCCTTGCAGCCTATTTGAATTACGATTGTTCTCTTAGGGCCTAGTAACAGAAGAAACACAATCTAAAGTCTTTTCCACTGGGCTTAGTTCATCCTGGAAAAGACCACAGAAATATAGACAAATGTGCAAATAAAAAAAAAAGGAGCAATTAGTGACTAATGCAGAAGCAAGACAGAAGGAGTGACAGCAAATTAAGCAAATAAAGAGTTAAATGACTGAATACCTGGCATAATCTCCACAGCAAAACTGGGCAAGAGATCAGCAAGCAGCCCTGTCCTGCCTAGAAGAGGTGGAAGGAAAAGAAGAAGGAAAGAGGTTACTCCAAAGGAAAATACAGCTTAAAGGCTGGCTCCAGTTGGCACCATCCCTACACAGGGTCAAAGATCCAGGCTCTAGCTGGTAGGAGAGGCAAGTCACAGAGGCTGGACTCAGTCAAGAGAAAAATCTTCTCCATCAATCTTTGGCAGCCATCTAAGTGAACTTTGCACCTAGACCAGATGGAAGCAGAAACAGAACTTTCTCTCCAACTATTTATAGGAGGAGGAAATCTCTGCTTCAAATCTGAAAAACCCGGCTTGAGCAGACTGGCATACACCATCTCCATTCATTTATACATTCTTCTCCACACATTTTATTGGAGAGTCAAACCCATCTGTATCCAAACGTTCAACCTACATTTTCATACATCCATACACAGTCCTATGTCCATATAAAAACAAAAGTACATATTTGGTTTTAACTCAGAATTGTCTCACTACATGATTCTATTTATAGCCTAAAGATGTTTCAATGATTAAAATTTTCAAAGGCAAGGAAAAGATAAAGCTAGATGAGTTATACGCTCTTCTACACTCCTTCTGGTTTCAGAAATACTCTATACATATGTATATGGTATGGCTTTTCCATATGGGACCCACAGCTGGCACTGTATGAACCCAAGTGCCTTCTGCATGATTCAGCATAGGAGCTTAAGGGCTGGTGTGAGAACAGGTGCCCCTCAGGGTTTAGAAGGCAAAGAGGTGTGAAAGAACCAAGACTATGGAACATGTGAGAGAGAGGTTAGTCCTTCTAAAAATTAGCCTGATTTATAGAAAGAACCACTGAAAATGCTTTCACCATGTTCTCATATCAAAATAAATGTAAAGGCCCTGATGTGGTTTTTGCACCTATACCAGATATTTCTACCACACCGAAGCCTTGCTAATAAACAAGCTCCCAACTAGCAACAATATGAAGCAACTAGCAAAATTGCCCTCCTTTCAGACTTCCGATGGCAAAAAGCCACTGAGGTACCACGTAAGCATGCAACTGAAATTTACTTCACTTATGTGCATAACATATACCCCTAGAACAGCTCTGCCCAATAGAAATAAAATATGAGCTACCCATAATTTTAGCTTTTCTAGTAATCACATTAAAGAGTAAAAAAAAAAAGTTAATTTAATACTATTTTGACTCATACCAATGTAGCCAAATATTAACACTTCAAAGTTTCAATAGCCATGTGTCACTATTGAATACACAGTTTTAGGGCTCTGTTTCTTGCATATAGATTTGGTTCATTTAGAAAACAAATTTTTTGAGGTGCATTAGAGAAAAAGCTACCCATGTGTGTGGTTTATATTTTGAGTCTAAAGGTTGGTGATGATTGGTCACTGGCCCCCCCCCCCCGTTCTATCAAACTGCTCCATAGAAAAGAAGCTCTGATAAAGGTCAAAGAAAAAGAAGTTCCTCCAGGACATTTACTTTTTCTCGGCTCTCCCTAGCCATACAAGGCCAATGTGGTAAAATATGCCCTGATCATGTCTCCTGCATGGGTAATGGTTCCTCATCTGAAAAATTAATCAGTATCACAGTACATTCCAAGGTCAAGGAAGTATAGAGACTGACTCAGGCTAGCTCCGTTTTAGGTTTTAGCAAGAAGGGCTTCTTTCCTTCTGTATTCTATCTTGTGCATCTGACATGGTAGGGATGGTCTGCTGTTTGCAAGGTCTCTTGGAAGAACATACAGGAGCCAAGTGGGACACTGGAGAAAGGCATCCTGAATTTGAAAATTCTCAGGCTAGACTTTGGCCTAAGCCTTCATGAAATGCTAAGAGGTGCCTCTAAAACTCACACGTGGTCTAATCCAGTTCCTAGGATGGGATGCCAGACAGGGATTTGGGGCCAGAGTCTGAGCAAGTGATTAGGAGCATGCATTGATTTCATCTGGAGTGTTCTGTGTACAAATATCTCTTGGAAACTCAACAAAGAAGCAGTGGTCAAGGATTGGGGAATTTTGGATGTTGGCCATCTCTTAAAGACACAGCTAATATTAATTACCAGCCAATAGCCAATGATCAAGAAGTCTATATGCTGTGTTTTTAGCAAACTGGTTATGGGATACTTACTTAACAGTGGTTTAAAAAAAATTCAGACAATTGGCACTTCTGAATGAATCTCTTATTATATCTGGTAAAATGAAAAGGCTTTTCTTGTGTCTACTCTTTAGCTCTCAAGCCTACCAATGTTTTAAACATCTCTAGATGTGCTATAGCCCATAATTAACTACATTGAAAATAGAAATGTTATTGATGATATAAACAACTGATTTGTATACCCTCCCAGGAAAGTAGTCATGTGATAATTATTAACTGCAAAAAATCCATATATTCAAGGAAAATATGGTGCTCATACATATTACATAAAGCACATTAAACTAGAAAAAGCAGTGGACTGGGGGTCAGGGTACTGGGAGTCAGCTTTGCCATTAGTTTACTTGCTACTACAGGCAAATTACTTCCTCTTTCTAGATCTCAATTTTCTCATTAGTCAAATGAAGTGGTTGAATAAAGTGATCTATAAAGAGGGAGACCATATATCCTGGTGGGTGCCTGTTGTCCTGGTGTAAATATTAAGAGCACTACTTTTTGCTCTCAAGGTGTGCTATTTTGGACAATTAATTATATGGCCATCCCATCTATAACATTTTTGGTTCTCATATCTGCTACTTAGTGATTAGAGTTGCAAACTCAGCTCTGTATGTTTATAGGGACAGCAGGCAATGCAAGTAAATACAGCTTGCCAAATGTAATACCACAGGGAGCATTTAGGGGTGAACCAAATGGCAGATTATGTGTCTACGGGGACTGCTACTACTCACCTCTAGCCAGTTGCTGCCTCCTAGGAATGTGTCTCCATGGTCTCAGGTCTTCTAATTTTTCAAGATTAGCCAGACCACAGAGTTTTGTGTGAAATATCCTGATTTTCAAATGTTGGCAACTGATTCACAGTTTTTTTTTAAAAAACACTAGACAAGCCATACAAAATATATTTTGGGGCTTTATAGAGCCCAGAGATCACATACTGGCAACCACTGACGGGTATATACAAACCAACATATTTATGAGCATGTAAAACACACACAAAAAGCTGGATTTCCCCAAGGCTGTTTAGGTTATGTTGTTGGTTTCCTGACATTGCTACTACACACTGAATGTCAATGAATACAAGCTCTAGGAACCTATATTCGAATTAAAATCTGAAAGCAACAGTATTACATGCCAGACTGTTTGCCCTTCTGATTTTGGGGGGGCTGGAATGGGCATCATGGAAGAACAATGAAGGAATTTTCATTTCTAGATTTTGTTTATATTTCTAATTCAAAAAAATTAAGGATGGGTGGTATCAAAAATATGGACAGGAGATTCACAAAGCTTGTCACTCCAACAGAAAAACATACATCAAGCTTCTCATTCTCCCTGAAGCAATGGAGTTTTCCCAGAATATGCCCATGTAGTGCTAGCCCCAGGATGGTGTAGGTGAAGAATCTTGCCAGATAGTGGGTGAACTTTAAGGTCTTCAGAATTCAGGACACAGAAGGAGTTCTGGGATAGCAGACAATATGACTATATCATGGCAACAGCAGAGAGAGAGAGAGTACAAGTCTCTCTGGCTTTTATACCACAACTTATATTTTACTGGGACTAAAGACATTTTTAAAAGTAGATTTATGCTGGAATCATATATTTCTGAAAATAATTTTGCTTCCAGCTTCTTACCTAACAATTCCTAAGAAATGCTGTTGCCAGTTAGAAATGCTCCATCTTTTCTTCCTATTCTATCACATCCAATAGAGGTCTGATCTTAGAAAGTCCAAACAATTGCAGTAAATACTTTCCAGATTTCAGTAGCACTTTACCAACACTTGTGAATCATTGCTTTTCTTCCAGGATTCAGTTTAAGAGGGGCAATTACAAGTCACTTTAATGTCTGAGGAAAGGATAGAAAACAGACCCTGCAAATAGAAGGCCACGTTTATGCTTTTCAAACCACAGCTCAAACTATCAGTAGAAAATACAGTTTTTACATAAGCACTCAAATAGTTTTCTCCAAACCTTGCAGAATCCATTACTTTTAAGAAATTTCCACATGAATAGACCAAACAAATTAGGCATACTAATAGTTTGTACACGCACGCACACACACAAATGCCAGCTTTGTACAATTACCCTCACAAACTTCATAGCCAAAAACACTCACACATTAAGTTGAATGATCAGGGCAGAAACATGAATTGTGGGAAAAAATGACCCTTGTGTCTTACCTATAGAATTCTCTATTTCATAGCTGTTTTCTACCATTGACACATTGAAGTTATCCCCACCTGAACTCTTTGTACATATTCCTGAAAACCAGCCCACTTCTGGAATGTCCCCAATTCATTCATTCATTATTCAGTCAACAAAGAAATATGGACTGTGCCAGGTGGAGACACAGAAATGAGATGTGAACCCTATGCCCGAGAGGCTCACTGTCTAGCCCATGCGGCTTGTCCAACGGTGTAGGTATAAGAATGAGTTGTAGCTAGCTGCTTGTTTCACAAACTTACTAAACTCAAAGGACTTTCCTCCTGCCAAATTCAATTATCATCAGCTTTTTTTTTTTTTCTTCATTTTTGACATCAAGCTCCACCTGATGAGGCAATGAGGCCTTTCCCCAGAAACACAGTCCTCGCCTGGTTTCCCACCTCTCTTCCACTCATGGCCTTATCTCTGCACATTTCACAACAAACTATGTCCTGGTGCTATTTCCCCAAGGTTCAAATGCTCTTTTCTTGGTAGGCCAGGCTCCTCAAGGCAGGATGTACTTACCTTCTTTAATAACATAACCAGCTAATACAGTTCTCAATCTCCTGCTTTGTTCAAATCCTTACTACACACAGTCTCCTAGACTCTGAAATCCATCCTGGTAGAGCCCTGGAAGAGTGCTGCCCCTTTCCATGCTCCTGAGGACCCTGCA